GTACTTCTCCCTTAGCTTCAGGATGCCCAGCACCGCGTCGTTAACGTAGCAAAAGCCCGAGGCCTCGTCCCTGCGAGCCAGAAGAAGAGCTGAGTCACCCTCCATGGTGAGAGGCCGTGAAACAGAGGGTGATAGAGAATCGCTGCCTTGTGGGACAACTATGGAGTCAGAGCCTCTAATGAACAGGGCTGACTGTAATAACAATAATAATAATAATAGTCAAAGCCAGGACGAGACTTCTGAATGTTCAGGGAGAACATGATTTCAAGTTAGGCCACAGCAATGGCAGTCTAGAACGACAACGCCATGTTAGAGCGAACAGAAATGAAGCAGCACCCCGTCCCCGAACTGGCACAAGCCAATATAAATGAGGAATAAGCCCCACCCCAGACTTACTTCTTGGCATGGTGCCAGCCGCCTGCCCAGTTGATGGCTACGTTGTCCTTCCCATCGAGTAGGCACTCTGCAGCCGTCAGCGTTGCCCCCCCAACGGCCGCTGCATAATCAAAGATGCCCTCCACCACCGGGCAATCATAACCTGCAAGAGCAAGAAGAAGCGTGGAGAGGGAGGGAGGGAGAGGGAGAGGGAGAGGGAGAGAGAGAGAGAGAAGGTTTTTATAAAAGGTGCAAAAAGCAATTTACAATACCATTATCATAAAGTAAATGTAAGCAAAAATAGTAGTAAAATTATGTATACCCAGAGGATGTGCAGAGAAATAAAACAAGTCACAAATAAATCAATCACTAATCCAGCAAGACATTAGACAGGCAGATAGACAGACAGAACATTCTGGAAGTGACACTGCATATCTATAAAGATCTACCAAGTAATGCAAAAAAAGTCAGACTTTATTTTATGTTATTTCAACCATACATCTATTTTAATTTATGGTGCACTGTTGAACTCCAGTGGATTGCAAAGCACAAACTTTTGCAAACAAAGCATTTTTTTTTCTAATTTAAATCTGAAAAATGAGAATGGGAGAAAAGACGAGGGTGATAGAGCAAGAGAAGGAGAAACTGAAGGGGGGCTGGTGAAGGGACCTGGAGGAGAGCAAGGTTGTTTCAGTCGCAGACGCTTTGGCAGAAGAAGCCAACTCTCTGTCCAGAAACAATAGCGGCTCTCCTACGTCCCTGCGGGCAGCGGGTCGATCAGGCCGGCTCGCACACGCAGGGAAGAAACGTCTCAAGTGACCGTCTATCAGCACGACACTCTGAACATCCAGGGACGACTGCCAACACTAATTCATTTTCTCTAAGTCGGTTTATTGTGTCGTTCCAGCGGGGACAAAATAATTCACCAAACTTTATTATGAAGTATATCACAAGTACAATCTCTGTGTTCAAGCGCCCTCTACACTCTTGTCTGCATAATTACACTGCATTAAGTAATACATGTCAGTAAGCAAAGGATATTTTCGAATTTGATTAAACATAAATGGGTCACATTTTGATTCTTGTCTATGTTTGTGATCTGCATGGAGTCCTTGTTTAGCCTTAGTAATAATAAATAATAAAATACAAATGCATAATTCGGACTACAGATCTGAGGATTACATTGACGACAGCTGGCGATTTAAAATTGAGATGACATGTGATCCTGCTAAAAGGCCTTTGGTGCACCTGAAATCTTCACCGTCTAGGTCAGGGGTGGGGAACCTGTTCCACAGAGGGCCGCTGTGGGTGCAGGCTTTTGGGATGGCCTCTCAATCAGCCAATAACAGAGGGTGTCCAGGACTGGCATTGAGAACCATTGCTTTATTATTGGCTGACTGAGAGGTCATCTCAAAAACCCACCACAGGTCTAGGTGGATCTCTCACCTTGTCCCAAAAAAAAAGCAGTTAAGAGTGTAACTCCCAAACCACGTACTGTACATGAATATATAAATACACCCCCAGCTTACCCAAGCCAAAGTCAATTGACTGAGGATCATCGTTGTCCCCATCTTCACTGATCTTGTGGAGATGCTCCAGGTAGGAATCTGTGTGGAAAACTGCCATGTCTTCCATGCTGGCTACTCGAGGCTTTACTACTCTAGTACAGGAAAACAAATGCAAGAATAATGCATAATTGAACAGGTCCCATAAACAGAAGGCGGAGAGCAAATTGCACAGGTTAAAAGGTTATCACTTACATTCCTAACCAGCGGTAGATTAAAAAATAAAATGTTTTTACGGTAACGGAGGTAAGGAGCAAACTACCGCTCGTTACACATCCTGTGTCATAACTCCTCATGAAGAGGAAATCACTGATAATGGCTGAGAATAACAACGAGCAAATCATTTCTAGATTACATACGATTTCTACGTTATGGAAAAGAAAACAGTACGCCTTTGGTCACGTTAACTAGGAAAATACTTTCAAAATAACTTCACAAGGAACACATTACGATGTTAACTAGTTAACAAGTAGCCGGGGCAGCAAAAACGCCTCTACCGGCCAGCCTTCAGTCGCAGTTTCATTTAGTTTAGTATCAGCTAACTTACCTCATGTCTTTAAGCAAACCATAGGCTTCTATCAAACAGTGCACCATATTTGCCTAATGGGTAAAGAGAGAAACATGTACATGTCTGTCAAATTGGTTTGTCGACATTATAAACGTGTTCTCAAAAGTTGAGCAAAACCACCCGCTAAAATGAGTTTGCGACTCGGCTATGAGAACTATCAAAGTTAATCCACACAGTCAACAGCCGAGCAAACCAGGAGTTTCTGAGTAAAGCGGTAAGATAACAAGCTATGTAACGGTTAGCAAGCTGACAGACTTAAGCCGAGATGCTGTGCAGCCGGCCGGGCAGCAGGAGCTGCTACCGGGATCCACGCCTCACCCGTTTGGGGACTTTTGAAAGAGAATCGCAGGTTTCAATATACTGCGGACTGTACACGTAAGCCACACTGCGCCCGGATGATTTATCATTATGATGGTCGTTATTATTCATTTAAATTGAACAGATTGCCGAGAGCTGCCACCTCTCCTTACTCCCCCAGATTCAGTTCGGGTGTCACTTGAAAAACAGTCCGAAGTATTTTCTGGAGAATAAAACAATCCGGGGAAACGAGACACAAGTTTCCCATAATCAAATGAGATTTACTTGCTCTAGAACCACCCTTCTAGACCTCCGAACCGAATAATAACGACTGACAGTTGGATGCAATTTGTAAGATGGTTAAACACTTTCCTTTAGTTTAGTTTCTAGTGAGAGTGATTTAATCGGTGGAATAAGGCGCACGGCCTTCTGGGATTTGCTGTTCAGAAACTCCAATCGATTTCCCTTACGCTGTTTGTACTATTTTGTGCAAACTCTGTAAATATAGCCTACAGCCGGTTTTCAGACGACTACATACTTTAAGCAATGACACACATGCCCAAATATAGCCTACCATTTGGTTTTAGAAATAAGTTGTGACACAGCGTCACAATTTTAACATAATTTTGTTGGGTGGCCACTTACACTCAGTCTTTTTCTAATTTTTTATTTTTTTTTTTCATTTTCCCCGTGTGGTTGTCTGAATAAGTAAATTGTTTAATGCAATTAATGAATTGTCTGTGGACTCACTTTGTGAGACAACCTCACTTATTCGCTAATATCATCGTTGGTTTTTATGGATAGGGCATTGCTCTACTCTTAGAGTCAAGAGTTCTGTTGTAGGTAATTTCACGTATATACTATAAATAAAAGGTTCATTTTAACTATTTTTTTATTGTGCAAAAGGAATATGTAAGTACAGTGATGCAGTTATGTCTTTTGCAGAATGTAAGGATTAGAGCCATTTCGAGAGTTTGGGAAAGCCCATTTAATTGTTACGCCACGTAATATATAGCGACTACTTCTCTCTGATTGGTCCAAGCGCTGTTTCTGGACAGTGAGGCAGAAACACGGACATGTAGCATGAGTGGTAATGATTAGATGTGAACCAGCGTCGTGATATCGGAAAGCCAAAGTTATCCAGTTAAGCAAGAAATCTTGGTTCCTAATACACACCCCTAGGTCAGGGGTGGCCGGTCTTATCCAGAAACGGCCTCTGTGTATGTAGGTTCTCACTACAGCTCTCTAATTAGGTTACTGATTAGAGGACTGATTGGCTGAAGAGTCCTCACACCTAGGTTTGAACAGCTGACCTAAAGGTCATCCTAAAAACCTGCATACATGCTGCCCAGGTAATAGTCACTCAATTGAAGGCTCAATAAATAGGCTAAATTGGATTGAAACTTGCCAACAATGGAAAACATTTACGGCTACAGTATAATTAATTTTTACCATAGGTGGTGACCTGAGTCACTGACTCGCAACTGGACTCAGACTCGTCACAAATTTGCTGACTTGTGACTCAACTCGGCTTGGACTCAAGGTCAATTAACTTGAGACTTGGACCCGACTCGTACCCCATGACTCAGAAAGAGGTTACCATGACGTTAATTTGATCAATTCTGTGTATATTCATTCTCTGCTGTCTAATGTTCAATTGGCTTAATGAAAGGTTTCCAAGGAGTTTGTTGGAAAGATGCATCACTCCGCCTACACATGGACATAAAAACCATGCGAGGACAACCATGAGTGGACACACTCTTTTCACCCCCCTCTGCCTATAAGGAATATATCCTATGATGTATATGACTCTGGCAGGCCTTTGCTGCAGCAAGTTTATTCACTAAAGGTAAAAAAAAAAAAACACTGACATAGATATGGACTCAAGTTCCATGACTCACAACTCAACTTGGACTCCAGTCACAAATTTGATGACTTGTGACTTTGCAGCAATAATGACGGAAACACTTGGACTCCAGTGCAAATGACTCGAGACGACTCAGGCTGCCATGTTTTGACTTGAGACTTGGACTCTCCCAGGAATGACTCGTTCCCATCCCTGGTATTTGCCATTATGTTTATTATAATAACTGATATATGACCAGGTCTGAAATTATACTGGGGGGGGGGGGTGGTTAACTGGAGATGCTTCACTAAAAAATGTTGGTTAGCAGCTGCTGCTGGCTACAGTGGGGTAATGAACAAAGCAGATCAGATTTTATTTTGTTTGCATTACAGAAAGTTTCTTTCAAACATGAACATTAAAATGACTGTTCTCATAGTTATTTGAAACTTGAATGACCTTACAACTAGACAATGGTGTTGGAAAGAATAGTAAGAATGTTTTTTACTCACAAGAGGATACATTCTTGTTTTCTGAAAATTAAGAAGCGACTCAAAATACATTATCTACCATGATCTTCCAATGGCCATTTAAAACAAACACATACATCACAATGCAGTAATATGTTAAATTAGGTCTTTACTTCAAATGACTTGTATAACTACATTTGAAAACATACACCTATGTAACATCTTTCTAAATTATCCTTATTGCACTGGTTAGAAGTGAACAGAATGCACTTTTGAATTCTAAATCATTAACCTATTATTAATAGGTCTACACAATGAAAGAAGAGTTTTTAAAATGTTATGTTGGGGGGAAAGGCGCTTTTGAACAACAAAGTATTAGTGACATCACCTTGAACAACAACTACATAAAATCTCTATTCACTCCTTGAAACAATCCTCTGCAAAACAAGGATAAAAACATGTACCATTTGCAGCTTAAGACATACTTCCTGTATTAACAGAACTATAAAACATTCTCTATTACCAGTTTTAGGGATAGTAAATAATGTATAATTAAAATTAACTTAATTCTGTATCAGGTAGATTTGCTTCTCAGCACACAAAACAAGCCACAACACCATTTCCATAGAGAATGTCTGGATGAGGCACATAGACCTTGACCAAACCTCTATCTTGAAAGTAGTTCTTTCAGGACTGAGACCTGACTAGTTAACCCGTTTCACTGAATTGCACAGGAACCACTGGGCAGAAAGTCCTGTACGTAGGTGGCCACAGCTCTGACAAGATACGTCATGGTGCCGAAGCGACCACTGGGTGCGCTGTCGTATAGCAGCCTGCAGATCCCATTGGACTGGTCTTTCTCCAAAAGACTTTCATCAGCCCCAAGGTCTTTCTGTGAAATGCATGAGGGGACAGAAGACTGATGAGAAAAAGCTTCATTAAGGAACAAGACCTGAGTGCTTTGAATTCCAGGAATGGCCTTACCACTTCTAACCTCCAGCAAGGTACCTACGCTGACATACTTTTGTAAAAAATTACAAAATGGGTTCAAAATTTACCTAATGTGTTTAAATTTAACCAAATATGAGAAAAAAAATGCAGATTAAACCGTGACACATACCTGATCTTTATAAAACATGTCATTGGCAATGTGTACAATCTTCTCCACGTGGATGATACTGCCGACACTTGGTATGTCAATTTCTGCCAGCATGGTGAGCACCAGGATGGCCTCCACCAGCAGCTGTCGGTACTCAGGTTGTGGCACGCGGTTCAACACAGTCTCCACGTGCACTGCAAACTTAATCTCACCAGGGGTCATCTGGGAAGGAGGAGATGGAAACTAGAATCCTGGCCCAGCAGTCGATATTCAAACACTAAACGCTGATGGACGGTCCCTGAAGTGTGTATAATTTGTGCTGAAATACTAAAAAATCTGAAGGCCCCACCTCACGTGTGGTTGATGATGGCAAGACAAACCCCTCAATGGATAGGCCATGGCACTGCGGGAAAGCAAGAGGATTGCAAAACAAAGGTGCATCAAGCAAGGTCAGTCCTTCAAGCCTGTTATGCTGCTGCAGATAGCATGGACTATCATTAGCTACATAATGAATTATTTTGAGATACCTATGCCCTCAGAACATTTTGGTGCAAGTAAAACGCCCATGAGGAAATTTTTTTTGGAAGATACATTTTTGTAAGGAAACCTTGCTGCTTACCTTCTGCAGGATCTTCCACACCTTCTGGTAGAAGCCGATTGGCACCCTGTTAAGTGCCCCATCCAGACGTCTCCGACGCAGCCACTGACCCTGCCGGTTGTCCCGTGGCATCGTAGATATGGGGGATGTGTCAAATGACTCCACTGACGGGAGTTTGTACCTCTGGAAAAGATGCAGATCCTCCCATTTTATTTAACATAGGACAGGACAGGATGTCAATATGTCACATCAAGCCTACTTTGAAACCTCAGGGTTTCTTTTTTAAAAGCTTTTATCCAGTGATTGTTTCAGGACATACCCCAGAGTCAATGCGCTCAACGTCCAGTGAATGTGGAGTCAAGGTCTGCAAGGAAGGAAGCTCAAAATGAGGTTAGACTCCCGACTTTAGGATACCCTGTAAATGGTTTAGTAAAATTACACAAAGATCTACTTTTGAATTAGATCAACTTCAGTGCTGCTTCTGTGGTCACTCGAGAAAAGATGGAAAGTGCCAGGTGAACCACTAACCAGGCATCACCCAGATTAAGGGATTAGCATTAGGTTATGATAATTAATTAGCAATAATTAATTAGCAAGCATTAGAGTTTGCTGCAGAGCCCCAGAGTCTTGACTTCTGATTGGATCCTTTCTCCGAGAGAGAGAGAAAGTAAGCTTCTTGCCACCCTTTAGTTCAACAGACTTGTGATATTCAGGAAAACATTCCAGGCCCAGATAACCAGTTTCTTCTAAATCTCGTTTCCCAAACTTTATCCCCCTCGTGCCGACCTAGCAATCCAGTGACCCCCTTTTAATTAGGCATGGCGGAGCTGTTGAGTGACAGTTGACAGTGATTTGACAAGCAATAACACTGGAATTCATTAAGAGGTGGGGGATTGTACAAAGAAGGTATTTCATTTAGTTTAGCTGTGACTATCATGACAACTCAATTATGAGAAATTAAGTCCTGAACATAGTAAACTGAGCATAATTAGGTTTACCACCCCAAATCCATTAACGCAACAATTTAATAATCTTACTTTGGCCATTTAATGTCATTTTTATAAAACTAAAGGGGAATTATTATTATGATTATTATTTTTTTATTTAAAAACAGACATACAATGGTGCCACCAGTAAGTTAAATTTGTTAGACAGCTGGCTTGGTATGGAAACCAACATGCACAGCGGGTCCCCAGAACTAGTATGATCCAGGATATGGAAATACTAGACTTTGACAAACTACAAGTGGGTCGGAGGATTAACACCGAGCCACCGGCCCAGAGAGCACCAAACCGCGTCACCTCATTCTGGTCCGACAGCGACGCCCTGCGTTCGTCCATCTGGAAGGGGGCAGAGAGTTTCACTGAGCTTAAGTGCGACCATGACCCAGGTCTCTGAGGCATTCTGTAGGGTTCCTCTGTGGCCCGTTCGGCCCCTTCTGAATCCCCCACTGCACACCCCACACCCCATTCATCCCTACAGCCCGCACACGGACTGGCATGTACTTCACATCCAACATTTATCCACAGTCATTTGTGCAGTGGAATATTTTGCAGGACTAATTTAGTAAAGAGCCCGTTTCTATGGTATTGCAGATGTGGAACTACAACAAGCAACCTTCAGGTCAGAAGTCTACTCTACACCCTGCTATATTTTTAAAGGCTACTAACATGAAGTATTAGCGACAGTGTTTGTGTTCCTGCCCCTTACTCTTACTACTCTACTTTCATTACCAATTCATACTTGCTGTATTTATTCTCTTTCACCACTTAATCACCCAATGATGAAGATGCTAATTAAAAGTCGACTGAACGAAACCCTGTAGATCCTGGTGCAGACCGACACCCCAAGCAACGAGGTAGCGGTGGAGGAGGTGGGAGGTCAGAGTGGAAGGTGAAGGCGGGGGCCCGTACCAACTTTATGTCGCTCTTCAGCTTGCTGATCCCCACCCGCTCGCTTTTGGTGGCCCCCACGTTACCCACTTCCTGGATGGAGATGGCCGGGCTGACGCCAGAATCCACGGAGCGCACTGCAGACCCAAGGACACACACTGCGGTCAGGGCCCTCCACCCCCCCACGGGGGGTCTGCCCCATCAGCCAGAGGGAGAGAGAGAGAGTTTACCAACCGCTCTTCTGCACCCCAAACTCCTTCCCGCTGAGGATGTGGTGGAGAAGGTTCTTCAGGTCAGAGGGGCTCAGACTCATCAGGCTTTCTGTGGCCTCCTCCCCTAAAGACAGACCGACCCGGACAGAATACAGACCACCAGTCAAATCAGACTGACAAAAGACGACCAGTACAGCACTTCTGAGGCCATGTGGTGAACTTAACAGAAGACAAACACTGCAATTCAATGGCAAAATACTGTAACTGCACATTTTATCAAAACTGAGATATGACTGAAGTTGGGTCTCTTAGGCTCAGCTTCATCTTGAGACTAAATATATTAGTTAAACTATGCCTGGTTTTGAAGAAAACAGTATCATTTACATACCCACGTGACATGCAGGCGGATACTCCAAACACTTTGAAGACCCTTTTCTCAGTGTCAGTGTAGTTACTGTATTTTGCATTTGTATGCCAGTGTAATCATTTACTGTGGTTCAGGATATCAGTGACTAATAGTTTCAGGGGTCAGGCATGGAGTCACACTGCAGCTCGGCAGGACACCCAGCCCCCAGGGTGGTGGGGTGCTGACCCGAGCAGCTGAGTGACTGGGCCAGCTCCGTGGCCATGACCTGAATGATGAGGCCGATGCGGAGGCGGAACATCTCGCTGAAGAGGCTGGGCTGCGTGCGGATGTTCATGGCCAGGAAGACCATGATCTCCTGCGGGACAGACAGACATGACTGCTGACTTTAACCTCAAAAGGTAGGCGGGGTAAGCAAAGGGGGAGGCGGGCCGCTACCTGAGTGAGGACGGCCACCGTGATGTTGTTCTCGCTGGCCTCTTCGATCAGCTTGGCCAGCTGGTCGGGCGGCAGGGGCCTGTGTGGAAAACATACAGCAGTGTTTCTCAAGTCCACGGGGACTCCCCCAGATGGTCAGGGGCCCCCCCAGGACCAGTCTGAGAAATGCATAAATACAGAGACATACAGAATGAACCCAGAAGGTCCTTTGGGAAATTCACTAGCTTACAATTAGTAACAAGATAAGAAAGGATAAAATGTAATTTTATTCTGAGGGAAACTGTAGTACTAAGGCATAGCCCTTACCATACAGGATTAAACAGACCCTAAAATAACAAAAATAAAAGCATACAACAAAAACAATATACTACAATAAAAGAAGGAATCAACCAGTAAAATGAAAGTATAGAGGCAAAAGGATAAAAAGATGATATTTAAATTGAGTGTACATGTGCAAAAAGCATAAAAGGGTATCACGCAATGTGTAAAAATACAATTATATACAATATAAAAATATGTACAGTTTTTAAAAATACAATTATCCTGCAATTAGGCTAACAGTCTTTCAGGCTCCTGGTGCACTGGGTGATTTTAATACCTTTAGCGCAGTGTTTCCCAATCTAGTCCTCAGCGACCCAAAGACAGTCCACATTTCTGCTCCCTGGGAGGGAGCAAAAATGTGGACTGTCTTTGGGTCCCTGAGGATTGAGCTGGGAAATACTGCTGTAGTGGTAACACCACAGGGAGGCCCCACCGCTTCCCCACTCACGCGGAGATGGTCTTCTCCCGAGGTTCGGGGGGGAGCCCCACAGTCAGGTGCTTCTGATGAGCCAGCAAGTCTGAGCAGGCCTGCAGACCAACACAACCGATGAGCCACTCACTGGCACCCAAACACATTCTCCACCCACCCAAAATTCAGGATCTCCCAAAGCCGTCTGCTGAGCGAGACCTAGGCAACGGACTCAGGGTGCCAGAACCTTCTGCTAACGAGCACGATCCCCATCGCCACCTGTCACATTAAGTAATATTTGGAGAATAATTTTTATAGTCACGCAGTAACATTTCAGCACTAGGTGGGCAGAAAATTCAAATCTCAGGAGGCAATCTGCTGTACCCTTGAGCAGAGTTTAATGGAAAAATACACATCAGTATAAATTGGTAAGAAATTCTAAATCACACTGGATACATTTCTGGCGACCGATATTGTATTTTATTTAACTAGAGTCTGCTTGAGAGACTAGTTTTAACAATGGTGTGCATCCTTCTCAGGGAAACCCAGATTCTACCTGAGCGCGGTGACCTGCGTACCTCATCCAGCTCCTCTACCTTCTTCCGCAGCATCCCACAGATCATCCGCACCAGGCCCCACTGCCGCAGGTCCCCTGCCCGCTGATACAGGTCAGTCAGCAGGGTCCTTACCGTGGGGTCCTGGTCATGTAGGCCAGTGTCCCAGTCCATGCCCCTGGAATATGAAAGAGCACTTAAATACAGCAGTATTCTGCTTAAGAACCTCAGTGTTCACCCCAAGCCAAACCATCACCCACCATGTCCCATTGGTCCCATCTTCTGGAGGCCTACATGACTGTAGGAGGCGCTCTTGCAGCAGCCAGGTGAACATTCCAACGCAGAAGAGCACCAGAACTAACTAGAGCCGTCATGATTACTCAATTCATAAAAAGCACAGATTAAAATTTCCGTAATCGATTGCTCAGCAATATGGCGGAAGGAAAACGACGAGGATCCAAATGAAGAGCGAAAGCATCAAAGTGAATGAAACTGCAGTCGTCAGTATTGCAAAGGAGAACTTCAGTAGCAGTACAGCATGACTGCTGTGCAAATTCACGTTAAGACGACATTCGAGTCTGACGGACTCACGCGATCATGGGATGTTAGCATGTGCCATAGCTTAGCATCATTACGTTGGCTTTAATTATTATGCTTAATGTACTTTTTACAATTCCTGTACATCAAAATAATCACTGCTGATTAGCCCCATTGCCTACCTGCATTATGTATATAATACGGTACATAAAACCAATTTGTTTTAATTCACTTTTTTAATGTGTCATTTTAAGGCTGAACGGTACTGAAAAGTTCAAACTATATTTGAAGTTTTTGAGATTAATTAGGAGTTAAAATTAATTATATAGCCAAATTGAACTTATCTAACAACACGTCTGGAAAATAAGTTAGTGGTGTGTGGGGTTGTGCCAGCAGACAAAGCAGGGCCAACAAATCATTTGCTTCTGCTCAATATCGTATCTCTATGGAATACAAAATATTTCCATAAACAAATGTCTTTTCATGACCATGCAGTTCTTGTTTCCTTTCCCCCCTCTTCAATTATTTTTGTTTAATTTCTCACAAACACGCCACAAGATCCATGAGTGAGTCCACCATTAAAGTTGTAAAGTTTGGTTCCCAATGACAGAGTAAAAATGTTGTAGCGCAACTATCACAGCAGACTATCGCGATCGTTGTGATGTGACAATTGCATGTGCATGAAATGCCGTGTCGATATCAACATTGCACATCATGAAAGCCTGTCAGGTCAGCACAGTGCTGCAGTGGGCAGCGCTGTCCCTGCACACCCCCGCTTTGTGTGGGTGGGGAGTTTGTATCTTCAGCCTGTGCCCGCGTGGCTTTTTCGTGAATCCTGCAGTTTCCTTCCACTGTCCAAAAACACGCAGCTTAGGTGATTTGAAGTGCCTTAATTTTCCATGTGACTGAGCATGCATCAATTGCAATGTATATTATAATTACATACTATTCTAAACGATTACTCAATGAATCGTCAGATTAAATTGGTAGATTCCTCGATTATATCAATAACCAATAGTGACAGCCCTAGTACTGAGCCACTCCAGTAAGTCAGTCAATGACACTTCCCACGATGCCTAGAACAAGAACCCAGCCAATAGCAGGTGCTGTAGTTAGACTGACTGGAAACATCAGTTATAGCTCACACCAGTGCACGCCTGTCAAATGCAGGCAGATTTGGCCAAATAAACCCTCAGTAATGAACAGCAGAGCCTCACTTGTCTTTATAGAGAATGTAGAGGATGTCAGCCTGATCTTGCAGGTTGTCTGTGTCCTTCAGCAGCTGCACCAAGGCCTGGTAGTCTATGTCCCCTGCTGCATCCCTGGGCAGGTTCCCTTCAGAGAGCTGAGCAGTCTGTGTCTCCTGGGCAAACAGTGTGGATCAGCACTTCATTTACCATATCATACATGCAGAACATTAAGCAGATGGTGTTTAAATTGAACCCTTTTAATTATAGAACAGACTTTATTTTAGGGGAACTGTTCCCCTTTGTGCAGGCAGATAGAAAACAGATCGATTTAATGGGTGAAGCAGGAGTCACACCACGGTGTCCTGAGGTCCTGAGGTATGCGTCAGGTTCAGGGAGGGTTGGCGAGACCGGAACAGCTTGGTCGGGAGATACATGTGCACATCTACAGAGAGACAGACACCAGTCTCAGTCACAAGGACAGAGCTGACACTACCAATGGCTGCCAGCAATGTCAGGCCGCTCACTCTGTATGTTCAGCTCCTTGGCCTTCTGCACTAGTGATACCATCTCCCTGGTCTTGGTTGCAGCCACACGGAATCTGCTCAGGCCCCCCTTGACCTTGCTGCTCTTCAGGCTGGACTTGGGTGCAGTGGTTGCCAACAGTTGATCCAAGTATTGCACCAGGTCATCATTCTCTAGGGACACAGACGGGCCACAGCTTATCACCCATATTGGTTCTCAGGCAGCCTTACGTAGTTAAACCACGTAATATTGGAAAATTGTTTTATTACTATACTTTTCTTGGCACTGCAAATCCATAATTGATTTCTTTAAATAAAAGACGAAAACCCCTGCAGGGGTGGACAAAACAGGCATAAACGGACATAAAAAGGACAAAGTCTGAAGTAAGTAAATCACAAGCATGGAAAAGCAAGGTGAGTCATACCAGGCTGAATGCCAGTTAGCAGTATCTGACAGCTAGAAAAAAAGTTTGACAATCAATATGAGGAGTTTCCAAGACAACAGCGAGCAATTCACACACAAAGTTCCACAGAAGCCAAACAGTCGGGGCTCAAATTGCCAGTGCAGTCACAAAAACTGCAACCAAACCAAAATTATTTAACGCATCAATGAGAAGAGCCTCAAAAATCACGACCACATATGCAAAACTCACACAAACTCAGAGAAATAGTGGTTGTTAAGAGGATAATTCCTAGACTAAAGCAAAGACATAATGACAGTCTGGGGTAAGGAACACAAAACCAGTTCCTCTGGGTAATGGGGGAAAAAGTTACATGGTCCGATGAGTCATCTTTCCTCCGTTTTCTTACATTCAGATGGATTGGTTTTGAGAAAGCCAAAGAATGCCATCAACCCACAATGTCTGCTGCTAAATGTTATGTTATGTTATGTTATGTTAGGCAGCCATCTTGTGGGAGTCATTAGGTCCGATGATTGTTCTGCATGGTCATTTTGCACGACCGAGTGAATATTATGGCGTAAACGCTGTTCCCTCATGAACCTTTATGGGATGTTCTGGAGTGTGAAGTAGATTTATACTACCTTCCGCCCTCGAAGTACAGGAGGCTTTCCATCATGGGAAAAAAAATCCAATATCCCACGACACACAGTTCAGGACTTGTACGACATCATCTCAAGGACTGAAGCTGTTCTGAAGCCCAATATCTTGATACTTGAATATTAGAGATTTCTTTTGCCCACCGCTATTCATCCACATGCCACTCCTGATGTGGAAGTGAATCCCAGTCAGGAGGCATGCCGCGAAAAAAGAATTTATATCCGACAAAAGAGAGGCTTTATGATCGGACATTAGATTAAAAGGGCCCAGTTGAACATGCCAAAAAGATGCTACAATATCAAACCGCATTCACCAGCACATCTTCTTGGATTGATGGTAAGGGCAGTGGGATCAGGACACCACATTTTGGAAACATGGATCAGTGTTTTAAATGGGCTACATCTTGAAGTGAGGTGAGTCTTGTATGAGAAGAAAGGATGTCTGATGTCAAATTAACTCTGGGAAAGCCATTTTTTAAAAATAGCATTCAGGTCCTTCAAAGTAATAGGCATCTTTCCAGACTAATTTAATAGCAGGAGCAGTTAAATACAGACACACACACACACATCATGGTAACGAATCCTTAAAAAGTTACAGTATCCTGGTAAAGAGAGACTGGGGTCCCAGAACATCAGCATTATGAGCCACAACATCCTTACCATCATCAAACTGAAACTCATGCACAGCTCCACCAGCAAAGTAGGAGATGTCATCTTCTTCATCAATGCTGGAGCCCTCATGCCTCTTACCACTGTCCATGAAGCTCAGGTGAGCACAGCAGGAAGTGGTCAGGAACTCGGACAGCTTCCCTGTCTGGATCCTGCGTGGCAAGTCCAAGGACAGATAACGTGCACATCCAGACACAGGGACAGCGCAAAACCTCCCCCCTGCTTCATGAAAAGCTGAAAGACAGACTTATTTGTTCCATCTCAGGTCATACGTACTTCAGCAGAGTCATGATTTTATGACAAAATGACATCTAGCTAGTGTTTGATTTTTTTGTACATTTCTTACATTGAAAGCCTCTCTGGACCAAGGCTGACCATGATGAGGTTAGGCCTTGCTGTACCATATTTTCAGGACATGCCATGAGTTTCTTTAGGCCATACCTGGCACCTCCATAGTAGCCATCCTGCATCTTCTTCAGAGCGGCCAGAACCGCAGGGTCCAGGTCTGAGTGGTCTTCCGCTGCAGCAGACAGAATCATGCATGGCATACCACAAGCAATGAGGCAGCGTACCAATCAGGAAAGCTTGCATATTCAGAACTGACCCTAATAGCATATTAGCATGCAGTGTGCTTGGTGTGTCCAAGAATATTTCCTTGTAGCTTTTCTATGGTCCCGTAACACAATGCACACCGCTAGTTTTTAAACCAAAATGCATTATGCATTGGTTACATTTGGTGCATGCTTCAACAGGACAGGCGCTCACTCAGCATGGTCTGGGAGATCGGAACGGTGACCGTGGGACGACCAGTCATTCTCCAGCGGGAAGAAAGGTAGGAGATTTCTGTGCGCAGCATCTCCACAATCATATGGTTGTCCAGCGCAAGGTAAAACTGATGGTGATCGATAAACTGGATACAAAGAATGAGAAACGCTTGGTTATTAAACAAACTTTACAAACTTGGTTAACACTTATAAAAATGGCTTTCCGTTTCTTAACGGTCAGAATCCACCCTTTGGAGACCTCAGTGATACAGTAAGTAACATCACTTGAGAGTCAAAGTTAAGTCAGTTGTAAGGCTCAATAACTCAAAGACTGAGAGACATTATTAGCTGATACAAAAAAAAGGCTCTCACAGATCTTTGATTAAATGTGTTTTACATATGGAACTATTCCACTAGCATACAGGAACCGACCCGGACCCAAGCTGTACCTCGCAGAGAGACTAGTTACAGTGCGGTTCCAGCTCACTTCGGTTTTCCACTGCAGAAGGGTCAGCTTGGTGAAGGTGTTGTCAGGTTTGGAAAGCAAGACTGACGTAAAACCCAAGAGATGCTTATTTACCGTTCACATTGTGTGCATCATGACTTACTTAGTGCATTTATTTATCTATCTATATTTTTACCATGTTCTAATTTCTGCTAGCACGTCTGTGAGAATCAATGTTATATGCAAGCGTCAAATGCGGAATTAGTGTTCAGCATAAATTTGCGTTCAGCTGTTCTACAGTCATTTTTTAAGTAGGAGGTTAGAAATTTCCAAGTTTCGAGTTTTCAGGAACGCATTAATACAACCCAATGTGCGATACTACTACTAACGAATAATATATAGAACATACGCTTTTTCCTTTAGATATGCAGAACATCGGTACCTCCATGCATTTCGACCAATCAGGTGGTGGCGACGTAACCAGCTCAGTCTGGTCACGCTTTCAGACCTTTTAGCAGGCAGGCCCACATCGGCGTGGTTACGGCTCGGGTACGTCTCGCATTCTTTACAATGGAGAACCACCAGTTCGCGGTATGGCTCGGTTCTTGGTGGCAGTGGAAAAGCACCTATAGTAAACTCGGGTTGTAACATAATTTAAACTACCATAGAAGCACCTATAGCCCTTTACCTGTTCACCAGTAACCAGGCAAAGCATTTATGAATGAGTTACTCAATGAAAAGTCCAGCTGTTCTAATCCTGAGAGCAGGCTGTTCTCACCTGGGGAGTGAAGGAGAAGATCGTGTTGCGAATCAAGTAGAATTTTGAGGTACCCAGTACACCGATACGCCGGTATGGTCTTCCTGTTAGACCTAGTCTCGGGTTACGGCCTGTGAGAAATGTACAAAATTATTTTAGATCAAAACACCATTACTCAGAGCAGAGCAATCCAATTGCAGGGTATGATAAGACCTAACTGTAACCTAATTGCGTAGGCAGTGGTGCCCTAATGGTTAGAGAAGCTCACTTGTGATTGAAAGGTTGTGGATACAAATCCCTGACTAGCAAGGCACCACTAAGGTACCCTGAGCAAGGTACTGCCCCAAAGCACTGAATTAGATGCCCACTGCTATGTTATGATGTCACATATGGGTTAAGTACAGAGGATACATTTCTTTGCTGTGTGCTGTGATGTGTCAATCACTTCATCTGTTAAAACAGATTCTTTCATCATTTTCACTAGGGGTGCACCGATCGATCGGCGCACCGATCTATCGGCCTCGATCACGTTAATTTGAGGGGATCAGAAATCGACCATATTCCCATGAGATCCACCGATCTTAGTTATATGCTTTTAAATCAGCATTTTCTCCCATTCCCGAGAGAGGTGCAGTGCAGGCTGCCTCCCTCCCGCCCGCCCAATACATTTTTACAAAATTAGAGAAATTAAAGTCTGGAAGAAAAAATATGATTTTGTAGTTCAAACAGCAATGCTCATTTATATGTTCATTTATATTTGAGGACACTACCTCATGTTTTGTGAGTATTCATATCAATTTACTCAATAAAAATGGAAACATTGAAGTAATTGTCTTTTAGTTATGAAAGAAACAAGATCGGCAAAAAAAAAATGGAGATCGGCAGGTAAGGTTGTCTAAGGATCGGTGATCGTTGATCGGCCAGAAAACTGCAATCGGTGCACCCCTAATTTTCACTGAATCATCGATCAATCAGAGCAACATTACACCCAAATTTTAGAAGATGATTTAACTAGACTGCATCATCCACATCCCTGGGCTTGATCACATCAGTACAGATATAGTCAAAGCAAAGCAGCCCTGCTAGTAATATAATAACTCAATCACCCATCAAGGGAAAGTTTAAAACGAAGACAATTTAGCTCAGAACCCACAATATAGATGGAATACTCAATCCTGGACAAGCAATATCAATACATTACTGTTCCAAGATTTTTACCTAGTCGGGCATAGATGTGACTCAAAACTCTTGAGGGCTGCACTCGGATTGGGTGGATGTCTGCCACACTTTCAACATCAAACCCATGCTTCTTCAGCAGCTGCTTGATCTCCTCAGTCTCTGCCAAGATTGACACTGGAAACATATCACCTTCGTGAGGCACCAAAGGCTAGTGTTTCACGTCTGATGTCAGACAAACCGGTGACATTACCAACAACATGAACACACAAAGTTTGCTTTAGATTCACTAAGAAACACATCTTGGTGATAAGTCAAAATATAAGTGATTTATGGGGAATATATATCAATATCCTTTGGACACACAGACCATCTAGTGATGAGAAAAATTATTTTCAGATGGAAATCCACTTTATTGTGATAACAATTATGACATATCATTGCCTTTAGCGTGCTAAATCATTTATATTGTATTAAACAAATATACACAATCTAACCTTTTTCTTTCTATCAAAGATGATGCAGAGAACTCACCCTGCACCACAACATCAGGTTTGGGGATAGTGGAGAAACGCCGGTTGAGGGGGTCTATCTCCCCTGGAGCCAAGAAGCCCTGGAACCCAGAGAGGAACCTTTCAACCGCTGAGGTTCATGAAGCATCACCTGAGCTCTGGATGCAAACTGAAACGCCTGCGTTCCTCATCTTCCTGCTTTTTAAGGGTAAGTGGCATTTTAAACTAAATTTTAAAATAAATAAAAAAAATAGCTCACCTCAGCCAGAAGGTTACCCAAGACGTAGAGGGACTGTCCCCACTTCAGGGGACACTTCCCCATAGGAATCCTCTCCACGGAGTGCGGGTTGACATACTCCTCATCTACCTGTTTAGGACAGCAGAGGCAGATGAACAAATGCACACTCGCATGAAACTCTGGCTTAATCAGCTCAATTAATACCTGAATTACATTGGTTCCTTACATATAATTATGACAACAGAACCAGAGCTGAGGACTTCACAGCCTTGCTGTACAGCTAAACGGGGTGGAATCTGAGTACTCACACGGTCTGGGGGCACGCTGTAGAGCTCCGGCAGCAGACGGATCCCGTCCTTTTGCTTGATCAGAATCCCATCAAGGGCCTCCCTGTATTCCTCAACCTGAATGTGCAGACAAGGTTCCACACATTTGCCATGCAAGAACGCGCCCTCATAAGGGTTACACCCCCAGAGTCCCACTCACCTGCTCGGGACTGTTGATGAAGATCCCATCAAGGATGAGATAGGTCCAAAAGAGAGGCCACTCGCACTCAATGTTCTCAAAAAGCTTGAGCTCAGCTGACTCATAATAGAGCCTATTTGGGTCCTGAAGGGAAGGGTATATATATATAAGGAAGTGATCACTTAGACACCTTGCCACACCAAAGCTTCTCCATCCTAATTATGGCACTAATAGACAATGCAGAAACATTTCAGTCCTGGACCCACAGGGGTACACGATTGATCACTTAGGAATTATGCGCAGAAGTTCTTGTACTTAGCCATATGATACCCTCCCCATTAATTACTTCTTACCTCTTTAGGAGTTCTGTGACCATCTCTCAGAAAGCGGCAGCATCCATAGCGCCCCTGCAGCAGAGACAATTAGTTTAACTACGTGTCCCACAATCCACTTGGGTTGAACCAATTGCAGTTATGCGTGCCGGGGCACAGCTCCTCACCTGCAGCTTGGAGATGATCTCTTCTTTAGTAATGTTCACAATGTTGATGTCCTCCACTGCAAAGGCTGGGTAGGAAATGATGGAAAGGAGGCCAGCATCCACTTCCTTTGAGGTAGATGCTCTTGGTAGCATGGAGTTCAAGATGGACTGCAGAGAAGGCACAGAGAACAGGATTAGCCTAATCTCATCAGTCACACCTAGATGTGAGGGCTTTTGACTATATCCCTGCAATCAGATTATGTTCATTTCAATTCATGCAGGTGCCTGGAGCACAGAGGGATCCACAGAGTCTACATGGTCTTGTGTGAAGATGCGGAGACCCTTTTGGCATTACCTGACAGTGTTGGATATCATCTGCAAAAGCATGGACGACAGACCCGGGGCCTCCCTTGGCACCAAACAGGTTCAGTTCATCCAAGGCTTCCAACGCAGCCTGTGAATGTACAGGAACCTGGATTACTGCCTATAACTTATATTGTGACGCTTATTCCTCTCATTGAGTTTTCCGGCCTCTGGGTGCAATCGCTCTAAAAGGCCTGGGAGTCGGGCATTTATGACAACAAACCACAGAAGAGGACGGAAGACTGACGTTGCTGCTTTCACATCACCTTAGCCATGCCGATAGAGCTGGCATTGATCTCAGGGATGCCCTGATTAGTCTTGTCTCCTCGTTCCCACATACCATAATCCTGAGAGAGGAAGAGAAAGAAAGAGAAACTTCTGAATGAGCACACAGACGATTCCATACCCTTGGACGAGGTGCAAAAACAGGAAGAGTATTACAATATTTTCCTTGGAAAAGAAATAAACAAACAAAACATATGGTAACACCTACGGCAATTTTGTATGCGGTCTCAATGTAGAACATCAGGTTCTGCACCACATCCACTTCATCCTGAGTGTACACAATGTGCAAGCCTGCAATGAAACACCAGCTAGTCAGCACTTCCCCATCAGCCAGCTGTCAGCAGAGAGCAGGGCGAACAAGCGGATGGGGCATTGATGGGGCATTGATGGGACATTGATGGGGCATTCTTTGGTACCTGAGGCAGTCATCTGTGCCAGGTAAAGGAGGAACAGGGATGTAGCATCCACCTGCAGGTGTCCCCAATCTTGGTCCCCTACTACTGTGGCACAGGTTCGTGTATTGTACTTGGCATGGAGGCTGTCAATGGTGCTCTTACTATACTTGAAACGCTCCACTTTGTCGATCTGGGAAACACAAAAAAAAAATGCTTTGAGGAACAAGGATTTTTTCTTTGATGAAGTGAGGACCTGGTTGGCGACCCTTTCATCAGAGATGGCTGATAGCACACACTCACAAGACTCACAAGACTCACAAGACTCACAAGACTCACAAGACTCACAAGACTCACAAGACTCACAAGACTCACAAGACTCACAAGACTCACAAGACTCTGCAGTTGGCTGTGTGCCCAGCAAAGTGTTTATTGGATGCAGGGTGGTACTGCCCCGCATACTTTTCAAATCAGTCAAATTATGAATCATGCACAAACTCTGGCCAACCAATATAAACCCCAGGATTCACTCCAGCTTTCTGCTGAGTCTATATTGGTCCCTGCTCTTAAAACATAACACTGTGTTCTGGGTGTGCTCCTATATGGAAGGTGACTTGACACCAAGATTCTGGATGCATGTTTTAAAACATGCTACATGGTTCAGCATTACTGGAAGATGGCAGCCAATGAGCTGCCTTAAGCCCCCAAAATTGCCTAAAGTCAAGTAGAGTCATCTACAAAAACATATCACCCTCAGTCCTCTCATCCTTAACACTGGTCAGTGGTGGCCCCTCATGAAGACTGACTCACCTGCCTCAACATGCACTGGAGGATTCCCCGCATGAGCTTGACAACACTCTAGAGAAAAAACAGAAATCTGGATGAAACTGGGAGCCATAGCACACCCACAAAACGTTTCACATGGTACTCTCTCACACGCACTGAAACACAGGTACCTGGTAAACGCACAGCGATTGAACAGGCTAAAAGGCGCCCCCATGTGGCAACAAAACATTCGCCTTGTAACAATTTCCCCCCCATGGGGGGTATTTCGGGAGCCCACCTGCTCCAGTTCATAGGCCTTAGCCTTGTCCTCATCGCGGTCAGCGTTCTTGCGATACGCCAGGCTCAGGGCCCAAACCGCCAGGATGCTGTACACGTTGTCCCGCACCCAGGCATCCGGCTGCTCCGTACTGGCTGGCAGCAGCCCCGTCACTGGGTCCTGTGAAGAAGAAAAATGGGGGGGCGCTCTCTGTCAAGACTGTCATTGTGGTTAGTCCTTGTGTTTTAGGGTTATACAGCTTTCTACTCATTCCGTGAATTTCTTTGTCCACTGGCGTTAGCGATTAACAGCATGTCAGAATCTGCACAAGCATGTTATTAGTGGGTCCGGCTGACCACAGACGTGTCAGGGGCAGTGCATGTGTCACTCAGCTGGTGATTTAAATACGTTGGCATGTGTGTGACTTTCACTGCCTATTCCTAGCAAGGTAAGAGACCCTCAGCTGGTACAAATGCTGTGACTTGATCCCGTCTCAAGGCATCAAATTGCAGACTGTTTTGTAGTAGTTAATCTTCTTGGAAGCTAAGACATGGCACCGTGCAAATTAAACTATATGAAGATACTGTTTGGTTTCTGCATTTGTTTCACTGTAGAAGTGGGACAGGGCTCACTTGGTAGCGAAGGATGGTTTGTTGTACAATCCGAACATAATTGTCAAGTTTGACTCCGGAGTTACTCCGGCTCCTCATGGCGGGCCTTTCTCCTTCCCAATGAACTTCAGACCTCGGGTAGCACGAACACTACTTCACCTGTTGCAGGGCAGAAAAAGCATCCGATTATATACTGGAGGGGCAATTACCTACGCAGTACTACACGGAATTTCCCCATGGAATGCATAAAATACTACCATTTGTCTGTATATACTGTAAAACATATGTAACGATTTCAACAACCAGCCGACGTTTTCATCTCAATCTCTAGACTTGCATCTAGTTAGAGCGGTCAGACATGGGTGTCTGACAGTTAAGACCTACCTGCCCGTAAACAAACTAAACTGGGAATCTGAACACTACCATGGATGTATAATGAAGAATAGTTTGTTATCTATATGCTAAGCCCAGAAAAATAATTTTCTGAGCCAGTTAAATGTTGGGTTACCAAACGTAAAAACAAATAGTATTTACAGCATTGTACTACAAAATGCAGCTTGACTTACTGGTTTGTGAATAACTTCTGTAATTTGCAGGTTTCCGTCCGCCTTCTAGTGATCTCAAACGCTGCAACCCGAAACTCGGCAGGCAATCCCGAGATCCTTAAATAATTGTGCACAACAAACAAAAAGTCTACAGGAATATCCTCCAAACGGAAGGCAACTGAAGTGTTCATTTATATACAGATGTCTCACACTTCCGACACACATTCACATTCATTTGCCTAAATACGGATGTCGTGAACTTAAAATACGAAAAAAAAGTTTTAGGTGACTGCCAGGACCTGAGGAGGTCTATTCCGCTGTCAGGTCACAAAACACGTGTTCCTCGTTGAAAAAGTGAAACATCTATAATAAGAGAATTCATGGCTTGCCACTATAATCGCAGATGCATTTCCATTGAAAGTTTTTTTAAAAAATCTCAGGTTGACGATAGAGAAGAGCAACCATGACGAGGAAATTAGAGAAAGTGGGAAAGTACGATTTTACTATAACTTGAAGTAGCCTATTACAATTAAGTTTATTCATGTGCTGGATTCATTAATCAAACCTGAGTGTTTATTAAATCTAAAATAAACTCCGTTTGTCAGTGACGCATTTTAACAATCATATATCAGTACCACAGTTCATCTTAAACACCCCAGTTAAGACAGAACACCCCTCAGAGTAATACTGACCTGTATGACCAGTACTTCTTGTAAAGCCTTTACTGGCACCGAACCCCCGACAGATGGCAGCATGTATGCATAAGTAACATTCTTCTCCGTAAATACATCTTGAAAATGTCAAATGTTCACATGCTCGAGGCTCTGCCAGGTTATATGCAGAGGCATAATTTTTTGGACTTGGTCATGTTGTAAACTGTATAACGGTCTAATTGGGGGAGGGGGGGGGGACCCGAATGAAACGTTTCTAAATAAATAACCCTTATTTTTTTCTTTTCTGCAAAATTTTGCTTAGGCCTACTTCATTCAGTTTATATTAGAATAATCCATTATTTTAGAATATTAAGATGTAATGGATAGTATTTTGAATTAGGCCTCTTTGGTTCCTCTGGTTTAGAGTTTGTCCTGTGAAATTACTGCTGGCGTTTCCTGGGATGTACATTATAGGCCTATTATAGATTGTTGTTAGTCCTACGAACCACTTCGTTTTGGACTGAAAAATGTGTTCTCCACTTGATTTTTGTGGTGCAAAATAAACGTGATGGAAAACACAAACAGTCTGAAAACAGAACCACCGGTCACGATAACCAATGTCGGCATTTTATCCTTGAATAGAAATAACTTCTTGTTTGTATGCACTAGTTAAGTTAAACAAATAAATGACTCCCGACAATACTGTGATGCAGCAACTGTATGAAAAAAGTGGTATGTTAGAAATCACAATCACATACCCCATACCTGTACCGAAGCTTAAGTATAGTTAATGTAGTTACACGGGTTTGGTAAGAAATGGACGGAATGCTTGTTTTGTGATGTATTTATAACACTCTGACCATGGGTCCCAATTGCGTAGTTTTTAAGGTCTTCATTTAATAAGGATGAGCATTTGTTTAATTCTAGATGTAATATTGTATGTCCTACATTTGAAACTTTTGCAGAAAATTTTTGAACCACTTCATATATGAAGAATACAAAAATAAATATATTTTCTATTTATGTCTTTATTTTTTTCTGGCAGTATACAAATAAGAGAACGTAAAATGCACTTATAATGCTTGATTCAAATAACCTGTAATTTATACATGCTAATATAGGCCTATGTCACAACCTAATAACCAAATAACCATTTACAGGCTCGTTTTTGGGACGTACCTACTTACGCCAGTGGTTATCTTAGTTATGTCGTTTAAATTTTATTGTAAAATGTTTACTCTTCACACATTCAGCCTATCATTGGTTTTTCAACTTATAAACAAGCAAAACTGAGGTAGCCAAAGGGGCTCCACAGATAAAACGTAGAAACATTGTTTTTGTTGTTCTTATTCCGGCTGGTCTCCGATGTTTACTGGGACGCTGGTGACGCGCCCCAACTGCTCGCAGTCCAGGCTCCTCGAGCCGCGCGTGCGGGTTCGGGCACGCGCACCAAAGGGACGTGCCACATGGCACTTCCAGTACGACACTTGCATCAAGATGCGGATAGATAAAGGTGCGCATATGCCAAAGCATCTGTTTTGTTAAAAGTTCACAGTACAAAAAACACTCAAATAGACCTACTTGATACACACAGCACAACAGTTTGACTAGGACAGAGCACGATTGACTAGGACACATCAGTCACAAAAACACGTGGATTTTTACTGATTAATTCAGTGGTTTCTCCTGGAACACGTTGATTCTAGGATAGAGCATACTACACGTGAAGGCGAACATCTGCACTGCAGGCGAAATCCCTGCCTTTTGCTTTGGAAAACAGTACTGGGAATATTACAGAATGCCCAGAGCCATGTGCAATAATAGCGTTTCACTTTTCTCGTCAATCCCCCACATACAATTTGATTTAGTTGGTTGACATTCATCTCTACAATCATCCCTCCGATCCCGAAAGTTGCTGGAGTCTTCCCTGAAATTGAGAGCAGCTCCATGACACTCGCGAATGATGCGCAACGTTCAGGAAATCTTCCGTTTCTGCAGCAGTAAAATTAACCGGAGAGTTTTACCGCCCCTCCAAGCCAGTAAATTTTAGCGCCGGTACCCCAGTATCCCCAAGCCAGCCAGCAATAGGCTTTGGCGGTATATAATTTTTAATACCGTCATATCGTCCAAAAATAATACTGCGGTATACAGTAGGATATTTTGAAAAGCAACGCTATTCCATATTTGCTGATAAAATTTTGTCCCTCATCCTCCTCCCTAAAATCAGTAGGCCTATGTCTAAGGTGGAATGTCAGGGGTGCCGCTAGAATTTTTGAGTCCCCAGAAAGCATATCATACTGGGCCCCAAACACAGACAAGTACAATTATGTTCCAAATGTTTAATTTCCTTATTATTATTATTAGTAGTAGTAATAGTATTAGTATTTGTATTAATATTTTAATGTAATTTTTAGCTTCTTGTTTTTTAAGTGATGTACACTATTATGAAATGATAAAAACTAAAAAACTACACCAGCTTCTTCAGTTGTCACACTGTGTTAGCTGCTTTGTTCTACATGATCCTAATTCAGGAGTTCCCGGACCCCCCCCCCCCTTGCAAAATGGGGTTGTGAGTCTCCAACACTATTATTTTTGTGAAATTTCTGGGAACCTGCAAACCTGCTTAGGATAAGTGGTTGGATGGATGGATGTGATCCTGCATTACTTTGTTATTTTTTAGTATCTCAGAAATAAACTTAATGTACATTTTTTTTTACATGTTATAAAGGCTAAATGTGTTCCCAGTAGCGCACTGCTGCTGGGACCCTATGCTCTACATTTGCTCAACTCCTTTCCGAAGCACAGCGTTAGCCAACGGTTTCTTTGAGGAGTTTCAAACCTCACCCCCTGCTGAAGTGGCATCCGCCCTTTGCACTCGACCAAAGCGTTGGATCAGTGTTCCGGAGGGCCTGGACCCTGCGGCAGTTTGCATTGTGTAACGGGCGCCACTCAGTGGGCCGAAGGTGCTGCATCAGCGTAGCTTTTGTTTAAACAACCCTGAGGACCTTGGTGACTAGAGCTGGAGGACTGCGTGTACTGGAGTCAAGCAACCAGTTTTTTTTTTTGTTTCATTCTCCATTTGCTGAGTAATAATGGGGGTGGTTAGTGGCTCAGCAGGTTTGGACACCATGCCGGCGATTAGAAGGTTGTTGGTTCAAATACCACATTTCACAGAGTGATTTCACTGTTTGCTCCCTGAGCAATACACATATCCACCAGGTGCTCCAGTGAATATCTGACCTTGCTTTCTCTGTTGTACATTGTTTTCAATAAAAGCATCTACTAAGGTAATAGAATGTCATCATAATCTCAATGTATTTTAAGTTTGGGCTTGTATTTAGTATTATAAATGTGCTTACAACAAAGTTTCTATATATAATAAATGCTTGATGCTATTAATATGATTTTTTCAGCACTAGGTGTGCTGATTGGTATAGGAAGTTGGCTTGTAGTGCAGAGGCTTCTGCTGTATCTTTGAACAGGGTTTCTAACCCGATTAACCGAATCCCAGCTATATAAATAGTTTGGGCAATACGTATCAGTGTTGTGTAAATAATTGAAAAAGCCGTAAGCAAATAAAATATTCCAAGAACTGTACATGGCAGACTGGAATTCTTCCACAGTTGAAATATATATATTTTTTCTGTTCTTGTTGAATCTGACCAGAAACATCACGGACAAAATATCAGGTTTGAAACAAAATGCTTTATTGCCAAAGCAGAGTGTGATGGGTTTTGTACTGTCCTTCTGTGAAACAAATATCATGCTACAAGCATGTAACAGGCAACAATACAAAACAAAACTGAATTTTTACAGTACGCTGGTTGTGCAAATACAGTACATAACTGAATCTGCCATATTGCGAGAGGTTGTAGCGCAAAAAAGTGGTGTGTTAAAGCATATAACACTCTAGTCTGAACAATCACATACTACTTCTATTATTATAAAAAAAAGTTCATTTGGAATAATTCAGCTTTATATAAAACATGATGCTAAAGTGGCCAAGTGCATCTGGAGAAGAACTTCTGCAATGTTTATTCTGTGTAATCTAAATTTAACTCAAATACCATTTCAATTATATATGTATCAGCCATCATCCAAGGTTATGGCAGCCATACGAGAAGTTCTGTGTCAACCGTTAAAGACTGATAGCAACAAGCAAGGTCCGACTTAACGTTACAGCATCTAAAATAGCATGACTGAAATGGTACATTGAAAGAGTGCTACACAAAATAAAATCCTTCCTGAAAGGCTGTATAAATAAAGACACGTAACCATGAAATATAATCTGTATCCCAGACCACATACCTCATACCTCCAAGGATGCAATCAATGAAACAACAGAAGACAAACAGATTAATACAAAACCGGTAAAACTGCTTTGAAAAACAGAGCTATAGAAGATATGAAAAGGCACTGAGTTTGATCGACCTTGATTGTCCCCAATTGCTTTCTATGGTTCAGTAACTTCCACTTTAGTCAGTTCCTTCTGATATTTCATTTTTTTAAAAAAAAGTTGTTGCTTCTCATATCTCAGAAAGGAACTTGGATTCATAAGGCACGAGTCAGGCAATTGTCATACTTGCCAGATAAAAAATTCTGCTGTGTGTGTGGGAAATACTGTCAAAAGGCTGTTTAACCTGGTTACAATAAAT